ATTTGAGCCTAAGGTCGTTAACTATTTAAATTATATTTTTTATTTTCATATAATTTTAAGATTTTGTTTATTTATTTTATTAAAATCATTGTATTTTGTTTATTTTTATCATTAGAATTTTAATTTTAAGAAAATACCAAAGAAAAACAGCGGAGAAATCTTGCGTAAAAGATGCAGGAAATTTTCCTTGCAAATTCGGGCCCTGTGTGTCGTGCACAGATGTGCCCACGGCTAGCCAGACGTGCTGCACACTTGCGCACCCACGACTAGCTAGATGTGCGCTTGTACACAGTCCCATTCGTCCGAGACGAGGTGCGTAGTCTGTGTGCATAAGCACTTTGGCTAGCGCGTGCGGCAGGCGTCGGTTGCGAGTAGCAGGCCTTGACTAGTGCGCCATCGCCATTTGGGAGGTGTGCACCATCCCTTGGTTGGCATGCCTTCAGTCTTCATGCTGCCATCGCGTCGTTGTCGTCTCGTCAGCCGTCCATCAGTTGTGGCATCACGTTAGTTTATTTTTTCCTCCCTCTATCCTCATGGATTTGCACCACTTGATGAAGATCCAACGATCCACTTTCTATAAATAGGGACCTTTTTCACCACTCCTTCATCACTTCTTTTTCATTCACTAAAACAATTTTAGATAAAGAGAGAGAGAGAGAAAAAAGGAAAAAAAGGAAGGAAAATGAGCGTAGGAAAAATTTCAATCTTTCAGTAAGGAAACTCAACAATTATTATTTTCAGATTAATAAACAGAATATTGCATGAATATGAAATGGCTTGTTACATATTTAATTTATTGTTATGGTTTTAATATATTTACACATATTCCATGTTATTGCATGTTTTGTATTGTACTAACACCTGTAAGTAAATAAGTAAATAAAATGAATATGATGGCATGATAAGAGATGATGGAAGGAAGATGATGTCATTTGATGAACATATGAAGTGAATAATGACAATTATATGCATGGTATTAAATACATATGATTTGTTTGGCTTTTTATCTCTGAGAAGATTATGTTTTTCTCTCATCTGATCTGAAAAGAAGTGAGAGGATCACTCCATATGGATGACGACATATTCTCTGATGAGAGTGGTTATGCGATATGATTATAGGTGTCATCATGGCGATGTAGGACTGTGACTATAGTTTACATGTAGGACCACTGTGCTTAGCACGACCGTGGCCATAGAATGTGTTATGGTTTGGCAAGTCGTAAATGTGTTGTGGTTTAGCAAGTCGCAAATATGCTAAAAGAGATATAAAAAAATGTAACTGTCATTCCACAATAGTAGTTAGGAATTCGTACTGCCT